AGAAAGATGAGGTTTTGTGTTTCTGCAAAGATTTGTTTTGTGCCATCAAGTCAGTTTCGACTAATAGTGACTCTGTATAAGGTTTTCAAGGAACAGCTGGTGGATTTGAACTGATGACCATATGGTTGGTTCTCTCTCAGTCAAGTGCTGATCCTACAGCGCCAAAATAGGAATCCAAGATTTACAGCCTCAAAAACCTGATATAGGGTCACTATGAGTTGGAACTGATTCAATGGAACTTAATAACAGTTGCAACTTAGTATGCATCCTGAACTTTTTTAGTTGATTTAGAGTTAACATAATTATAAAAATCTATTTTACCTTCCTGTCCTTTACACAAAAAGATGTGGTAGCTTCCATAAAAGATTGACAGCATTGCAAAACTTAGGGAGTAACTGTACCTTGTCTCTAGGATTGCTATGAGTCACAATAGACACATTTGCAAAAGGTTTGATTTTAGATGATGTTGGGGAAATTAAGAGTTTGTTCCTTTACACTATTACTGTTATATTTGTTATAACTATATATAGTGTACACACCTTAATATAGGATTGTAGTTTTTTGTTTCAATGATCATATGTTGCTACAAGAATTTAGGAGAAGAAAAAAGGACATTTATGTGTGGTTCCCATCTGCAAGGGGAATGCTTTCAGCCTCTCTCTATTGAGAGTAATATTGGCCATTCGTTTTGTATATACGCCCTTAATTATGTGTAGAAGAGTTTTCCTTCTATTCATAAATGAGCTTTGGAATTTTTCAAATGTTTTTTATGTGTCAATTGATAAGATTATATGGTTCTTTTGCTTTGTTTTATTTATCTGGTGGGTTATGTTGATGGTTTTTCTAATGTAAACCATCCTTGCATAACTGATATAAATCCCTTATGGTCATGATAAATTTTTTTGACATGTTGTTGGAGTCTATTGAGTAAGAATTTGTTTAGAAGTTTTATATCTATGTTCATGAGGAATATTAGTCTATAATGATCTTTTTTAGTGATGGCTTTGCCTGGTTTTAGTGTCATAATGCTTACTTCAAAAATATATTTGCTAATATTTCATAATTTTTGATATTCTGGAATCGGTTGAATAGAATGGTTTCAGCCCTTCCCTGAACGTTTGGTTGAATTCACCAGTAAAGCCATATGTGTATGGACTCATTTTGATTGGTAATTTTTAAATTACTTGGTCTATT